TGTGAGGATTTTTGTTTTCTTTACATTGATGTGCAACCCATACTGAAGACTGTGGTCTTTGATCTTCATCAGTAAGTATTTTAAGTCCTCTTCGCTTTCAGTATCCACAGGTTGTTAATGAGTCTTCTTCCAATCCTGATGCCATGTTTTTCTTCATATAATCCATCTTCTTGGATTATTTTCTCAGCATACAGATTGAATAAATATGGTAAAAGAATACAACCCTTGCACACACCTTTGATCATTTTAAACCATGCATTATTCCCTTGTTCTGCTCAAACAACTGCCTGTTGGTCTACGTACAGGCTCCTCATAAGCACAATTAAGTGTTCCAGAATACTCATTCTCCTCCATGTTGTCCATAGCTTGTCATGATCCACACAATCGAAAGCCTTTGTGTAGTCAATAAAGCACAGGTAAACGTCTTTCTGGTGTTCTATGCTTTCAGCCAAGATCCTTCTGGTGTTAGCAATTATATCCATTGTTCCACACCCTCTTCTGGATGTGGTTTGAAACTCTAGAAGTTCTCTGTCAATGTATGGCTGCAGCCATTTTTGTATTATCTCTAGCAAAATTTTACTAATGATATTGTTTGATGGTTTCCACATTCTGTTGGGTCACCTCTCTTTGGAATGAGCAGAAATATGGATCTCTTCCAATCAGTTGGCCAGGTAGCTGTCTTTCAAATTTCTTGGCATAAATAAGTTAGTGCCTCAAGTGCCGCATCAGTTTGTTGAAAGACTTCAATTTGTATTCCATCAGTTCCCGGAGCCTTCAATGCACCTTGGACTTCTTCCTTTAATATCTTTGGCTCTTGATCACATGCTACCTCTTGAAATGGTTGAAATGCTGTTAACTGTTGGTACATGGATAGGATTACAACCATGTAATGAAGCAAAGTATGTAATTTGTTGAATGTAAAACTGATGATCTGCTCTGTAAATCTTCATTCAATTCACAATAAAAAGTTAAGGAAAAAGAAAGACACCAATCAAATAATGTACTAAACCACTGCCATTGAGTCTATTCCAACTCATAGCAACCCTTCAGGACAGAGAGGAACTGCTCCATAGGACTTTCAAGACTGAATCTTTATGGGAAGCCTCTTGGTCATCCCATCTTCCTACCAACCCACCTCTTAGCCATCCAACCAGCAAGCCATTCAGTTCTCCCAAGTCATCTACCTGCCTGGACTCACACCCCCATCCCCCTAAACTGTCACTTTCACTTGGCAATAGCCACCCCAGCCCAACAGGCTGAGCACCTGCCACCATTATGAACATCTGCAATGCTCGTTCTGATGAACAGGCAGCACCGCTACTTCTTTTACCTTCCTGTAAACCACTACATGAAATACTATCTCTACCATGACCTTTCCTGGCCCCACCTCTCTTATATTACTGAGGAGGAAGACAGGACAATTGTGGGGCATGTTCTGCCCAAAATAGAAGAGGATCCAGATGATGTCCCCATGGACACATCACCTCAATGGCCTGAAACATTCACACTAGAGCCTCAGCCTAGCTCAGAAACGGATGGATCAGCAAGATCGAGAGCTTTGCTGCCAAATATATACCCATGTTGGTAAAGAAGAGTCAGTGGGCAGCCTTGCACTTCTACTCTAACACTCTCAACTTCCAGGCTAGTGAGGTGGGACCCAAATACTATGAAGATGAAGAAGATATTTATGTTTTGAAGCAAGATCTCTCTCGTAGTTGGCTGTTGAGCTGAGGCAGCAGCGGGAGCTGAAGAGATGCAGGTATGTGGTACTGGGCTGCAGGAAGAACAAAGTAGAAACCTAGGACACCACACTTCCTGGTTCCAAGGAGGTTAGGCAGGAGAAGGACCCAGAGAATGAGGATAGTGGGAGTACCAGCAAGGAACTCAGCATGTGCACAGAGAGCCTCGAAGTCCAGGACAGCTCAGAGGACTCGGAGTCCACCGCCTAGAGCTTGCTTCAGCAGTCTAGGAACAAAACAAAAAAAATCAGTGTTTCAGAGAAGTTATCAGGAAAACAATAACCGTATTAGCAATAATGAATATGTGCGTATGTGTGGCCATTTTAAGGGATGAAGTATGAAGAAGGCAGTAAATTCTTGTAAATGCAACAAAATGAACTTTGCATATATTCATTTGTGAAGAAAAGGTGGCTTAATAAAAGTTGCTTCCTATGACTTACTTATCCATATGTATTAAGCTAACTTACTTTAGGTTAATTAAGTTTGGGTTCCCATTTGCATGGCTTTGAAAAAAAGAGAATCACACACACACAAATCTTAAATGGGAACAGACATCCTCATCTTCCTGTTGTAGAGACGCTGGTGGGTTTGAACTGTTGACTTTTGGGGGAGCAACTCAATGCATATTGCACAGTGTCGCCAGTACTCCTTAAATACTGCACAGGAACCCAGAAACCTACTTACAAGGCTTGTTGTTGTTGTTGTTGTTGT